GTAACACTATACAATATCATCTTGGTATTTGTAAACAATAAAGGAATGATTGGTAACACTATACAATATCATCTTGGTATTTGTAAACAATAAAGGAATGATTGGTAACACTATACAATATCATCTTGGTATTTGTAAACAATAAAGGAATGATTGGTAACACTATACAATATCATCTTGGTATTTGTAAACAATAAATGAATGATCATTCTTTTAAATCTGTAAAATAATAACACTGCTGAATTCAGTTATGCTTTTATTCTGTTCTAACGTTTCAGTTTTATTAAGTTAAGCTATTCTTTTTGTTTGCATGTTTATGCAACATTTACTATGTATGTGTGTGTGTATAGAATATATGATTTTTTTTTTCAGCTGAAAATTTCATCTGTGTATTGTTATTACTTTAGTTTGCTAATATTTACTTAGGCATATCAAGGAAACAAATCCTAAAAGTATGAAACTAATATGTTTCCATACAATTTTCTTTCAGTATTGTGTATTTACACATAAAACAATTACTTTGTCTTTCTGTAGAGTGGTATCAACCATAACCTTGGCATCAATCTTTCGTCTCTTAAGAATTTGTGAACAGTCCCAGCATGGTAGTACTCTTGAAGGAATTGATGCCTTACTAGGATGTCCTGTGTATTTACCTCAGTCTTCTGCATTAGCCAAGTTTTCTACTTTATCTAATGCTGAAAAACAGCTCATTTGCACTTCGTACTTTCATTGTCTCAACTGGTTTCGTGAGGTAAAATTTATCTGTTTTAAAACTTTTATTGATAAATAATACTTCATATTAATATAAGATTTTCTTTTTTTGCTGAAGTCCAATTACATCTGTCATTGATAGTTAGAAGATGAAAACAAATTAACCGTATTTGGATGGTGAGCATCCTTCAGATTTCAGTGCATATATGCATATAAGTTTCAAAATTTAAGTAAAGTAACAATCATAACTGTATTTCAACAATTCTTATTTTCAAAAATATTTCAGAATTGCTATTGTGTCATCTTTAAAGTTGAAAATTGTATAGAATAACATGGTTTTAGTTTTTTAGAGTAGATTTAAGCCTAATGTTGAAATCATGCTACATTATTTAAAGGTGTAGTGGAGAAAATAAAACTAAAATATTAATTTAAGACATTTTTTTTATTAATAAGAAATTAACATGATCACAGAGGTTCAGTTTAAAAAAATGCTTATTCTGGAATTAATCGTAACAGATTAATGACATTATGATTTTCGTGTGTATTTTTTCACTTTCAGTCATTGTGTATGTCTTTTTCTTAAATTCAACAACAAAAGTAATTTTGGCAGTGACTCATTTTTTGTTTCCTGTGCTTATATCAAAAATTCATTTTCATAATACTAGTGTTGGACCCCAAAATCCATGTGATGATTTTGAATTAGTAAAGTCTGGGCTGTTTCACTTTTTTTTTATCATTCTCCATTCTTGCATTCCATACTGATTAGGTTTATTCTGTTTATTCTTTATTTTAATACACTGTGCATGGTATCAGTCCATTGAACCGATTACATATCCTTGAAACTATAAATAACAATGTTTACTATAATTCTGAATTTACTACATGTATCTTTGTAAAACTTGGCAGGCTTTTTGATAAATTACAAGTGTTGAACACAAAAATTCAGATGTTTTTAATTGAATATTTTAATTGAAGATCTGTATGTGAGTTTAATGAGTCTGACTAAGACTTTGACTAGTCTGAGTGTAAAGTGATTTTCATGATAAGAATAAGAATATTTCATCTTACAGCTTTCAAATTTCATTTGCATAACCTCTAGCACCTCTTAAATAAATATCAAAAGTTTTTTTTTGTACAACTTTATATCGTATCTGCTATTTTATCTACCCTTACACTAACTGTCACAAAATCATCAACTGGTCAATGTAAAGTGAAATGAAAAGTTGTAAAATATTAAAAAATTGATAATACTTTTTTCTTTTTGATGCATAATTTTTCTTGTTACATGTAGCTCTTATCTTTAAAGTTTCAACTGTTTTCTTTTTCACATCTATTTTCTGTAAATTTATGGGTTTATTATTGTATTGAGTACCTATGTGAGCACTAATCCTATCAAAAACAGTAAACATAGCATGAGGTAGTTAGCCACAGGTCATAAACACCACGAGTTAAGTACGTGACTCATGTGATCTTTGTGAGTACAAACCAAAACTGAGCTAGGCATTGCCATTTTCATTAAGTTAATTCTTCAAATGAAAACCTATGAAGCTTTCAAGTATATATTTTAGAACATAAAACACATATTCAACACTAGAATTGAAAGTCTCAAAACTGGCTTTCTAACTAAGCTACAAATAGTTTACAAAATTCTGTTAGCTGCTTTGGAGCTCAGGAATGATGATCACACATAAAGCATCTGAATCAAACTGTCTACAAGTGTGCACCAAAAAGAAATAACCTTTAGCAGATTCTCTTTCTACTGATTAGGCTATTAAAGAAGGATTGTATAGATAAATTTGTTCAAAACTGACAAGATGGGAAGAGTCTCAATGGTGGGTGTCATAGATTTATTTATATATCAGCAATTTGAGAAGGTGGGATATTTCAGTTTTATATTATGGACTATCAGGCTGTATAGTTTTAGATTTTTATTGGTTGGCCTCTCTAAATATATTTAGAAGGAAATGGAGAAAATCTACAAAAAGAGTTAAGAGGGAGTTGTGTTACGTGGCACACTGATGTCAAAATTAGAAATGTATTTAAATGATTCCTTTTGAAATTCAGAAATTAAAACATAGTTTTTTGAACATTGGTTGATACTAGTGTTTGGGTATAGTGCCCACAGAATCATGGTGTTGCTGTATTATGCTAAAGGTATTGAGCTTTTGACACTACAGTATGTCCTTTTAGATAACTCCTTTATGTAGGGGGAGGGTGGAGTATTAAAACATTAACCAGTCTTCTGTGGTTTTGAAATGATCCTGTGTTGACAACTGCCTCCTGTTCCTCAAAACCTGTGCTTCGTTTTCTTATCCCCCACTTCTTATTTAACAAGAATGTGTTTAAAATATCATAATTTTTTTATCCAAAAGTGAGTAGAAGGCTTGTTGGATTTTCGTGATCAGGGGATATTCTAGTTGAAATATCAACTTATAAGATTATTAGTATTGTTTCGGTAATTTTAACAATTAAATAAAAAATATTATGTTCATGCACTTCACAAACACTAATGATTCGTTCAACTAATTATTATTAAATTAGTAATGTTTGGACTCCAGTTGCACTGAAATACTGAAAAGCTTGCACATTTCTACTTTTTTTTTTAAATTGTCTCAGTTAGGGATTCTGCATTGAAAATGTGGGACCCTGTGCATTATTAGGCCTCTAAACAACAGCCTTTCACACTACATCAGCCCAGAGTTTATACACAGAGTCTTATTCGTCACTAGCGACTTCCATTGCAGTATTTTGCAAAGCTACAATTATTACCTTACAATTCCACCCAACACTGTATCTTTATGCCCCATTTGGCTATGCTTTTTTGCAAATAGACAATCTGCTGTCCCTGTCTTTGGTATATAATTTCTGGCAGAGCTATGTGAGATGGGCCTGACATTGAATAGCACTGCTGAATCTGGTGATCAGCCCATTGCTACAAGACTTATCACTATACCTATTATGATCTTTCTTTGGGTTAGTTGAAGAATAATGATAAATTTTCTCTCTATTTATTAGAGTAAAAAATGCTTGTTTGAGTATTGTTTTTTACAAAATACGTTTTGTACTATTTAATTTGTTTATCATACACTGTGAGAAATCTTTTTCTTGAAGTGAAAATATTTTTTAGATTCTGAATGGATTTGCTATGGTGGGAAGCGCTGAGATAAAAGAAAAGGTTGTTCTTCGTTTAAGAGACATTGTTGAGATGCAGAAGATCTTACAACAACTTTTAGGAGGTAAAGAAAAATATTTTGCCACTTCATGAGGTTATTTGAAATAATTATTTTGGTGTATAATGAAAAACATTTTTACATTTATTACAATAATAAAACGTTTGAATATAAACTCAAAAAAGTTACATTTTTGGATGAGATGCTAATAATAAGAAAATCAGATACTTCTTTCTGTATAATTTTCTTAGGGAGAACATATGTGACCTTATCTGGCATAAGTAAATATTCTCTTCCTACTCCAAGGTGTATCATATTCAATAGTATAAGAAATTGTTTAAAGCAAGTTGATGCAAAAAACATTTAGTGCTATTAACCAAAAATGCACTTGACCCAAAGGGCTGAAGCTATTCACACAAAACAATTTTTTTATCGCAAATTAAAAAGTGAATATAACACTGGATGAGTATTGAAATTGTGTGGTAAGAATACTGTTAAAGAAATGTATGGACAATTAACTCATATAAAAAAGAAAAAGGAAAGAACAAGTTTTACAAATCCACGAGTGAAAGGAAAGGAGAATATGTTAAAACATGTGAACAACACTACATGTGCTATATCCGGTAACGATTGCTATTTCAGTTTGCTCTTTGAAAAACATATGATCAACTTGAACACTAGTTATTAAGTTAAGAATGTCAGTGAGTAAAAAACTTATAACACTTTAATTATTTTAGATTTTCCAGTCTACAAACCTCCAATGATTAACTTTGACCATGACAACCTTGAGGTACAGATCCCGATACCTTTTGCAGGATCCTCCAACAAAACAGGAGGTAAAAGAGGCAAAAAACCTGCAGCAAAAAAGTAAGACTATATTCAGAACTTATTGCACATAACATTTTATTGGTATTTATGTCAAACATTTTCAAATTTTCTTGGTATTCAGTTGTTTTTGAACATAAAAAAACAGTAGCTTTAATAATTGTATACTAACCATATTAACTCTTTCAGCATTGGCTCGGTCCCAGGGACTGACCTTGTGAGCATTTTGTGCTTGTTATAGTTTTCATGCTATAACTTTTAAATTAGTAAATGTAAGTTTAACGAAATTTTGTAGATTATCAGTAAACATTACAAGGCTTTTGTACACAAAATA